TCTTTGGTATAATATTTATTTGCCCCTTTTTTCTTATCTTGTCAGGGTATATGCTAACCCAAGACCAGGCCACACTCATTTCGACGAGTTCGAGCTCTCATACGCAGACAACTCGAACAAAACTCACTCCAACGCCCTAGTAACCTCCTATGTCGCACCCTCCATAACCCCAATATCAGGACACCCCGCCTTCCGCGTCTACACTGTCGACCCCGTCACTTTCGGCGTGCTGGACGCTACCACCTACATCGCCAACGTGAGCGACCCATCTTTCTCATCTCCTTCGGGACCAAAATGGACCAAGTACTATTCGGCACGGGAGGCGTACGGGCCACTAGTCGGGGCAACCGGAAAGCCGGAGCCGTCAAACGCAGGACTGCAACTGGAAGAGCTAACTCCCGCGTTCTGGCACAACGTGACGTCGGCCTTCGAGCGCAACGAAACGGCGTTCGCGGAGTACTTCGCGCGGAGGCGGCGGGGGTGGATGGTAGGGCCCTGTGACGAGAAGTGCAAACGCGCTGAGATATGCAAGATGCGGGCGGCGAGAGCTGAGGATAATTGTGTGCCGCCTGGCTTGCGGTTGGATGATAATAACGGGGTGGGTAATGGTCGAGGAGAGGGGGTGGAAGAGGATGAGTGCGGAGGCTCGGTTGTACGTGATACGTTGGGGAGGTTGGTTGGGGATGTAGATATGCTGAGGCTGCTTGGAGAGTTGGTGGTTGCGAGGGAGTTGTTATAGATGTATGTATTTTGGATTACTATATAGATTAATGGTTCTTTTTGTATAGGTAGGGTAGGTGCTTAATACGGATAACCATAAACCTCCTTCTTACCTAATTCTTGCGATTTATCTAACTGGCCTGGGGGAAATAGGGTGTTGGGGAGGGAGATATAAACTTCACTATTGCTAGCCCCTAACATCAAGTATCTTCTAATAAAAGAGGAGTCCCTCTCCAAATTTGATAGACTATAGCTTAGGTGCGTTGCATTAAAGGTTGGATGCGTCTATTTACTATAGGGTGTTCATTTTGGGAATGCGTTAGCTGGAGGGTACTGGGAAAAGAAGGATGGGCAGAGCAAACCAGCCGTAGCTACCTTTTATCCGTGCAATGGGATAACTCAGCTTACCCATAGGGTCTTGGTTAGGGGTGGTCTATGTAGTAGTCGAAATAGTGGGTGACGTAGTAGTGGGCTTATGGTGGTAATACTGTGGTTGTGGACTGAGTGTTGCGAGCAAGAGTATTGTTTAGGGGTATGCTTGGATATTGTAGGTTTGATTTCTGAGTAGCATAAAATGGGTTTAGATTCGAGATAGATATCGTCGACGTTGTTAGTATTATTAATATTAATATTATAATATAATTAACATACCTAACTTACTTAAAAGGTACCACACGAGAAAAGGGGCGGCGATGAACGTAGTTGCTCTATGGTCCGGGGAAGGGTCGGCGTTGAAGACTTTGCTACAGACTTATATAGACATGTCAAAGGCGAGCCCGTGTTATAATATCATACGCAGTACGTTAACGTTTACTAAGGGGTGACGGACCGGGGTTGGTGGAAAGCGAAGGACTTAGCTATTAAGCTAAACTACCACTATTTTCGAGTAACGGTACGGCTATTAGTTGACATATCTCTAAAAAGGACCGGCTCCCTATTCCAAGCGCAAAGGCTCAATCTCCCTTCTCTTGCACATACGCGAACTATATCTATAAATGCATAAACAGCCCGCTACGGCTTCCCCCGCCATACTTCACCCAAGAACCGTTCTATCTCAGTGAACTTGTAGTCCGGTAGTCGCTGATTCCACTCGTCCGATACATCCCAAGCACCCCTAGCAGTACTTAGGAGCATGCCTACGAGCACGCCTTTCAGCATGTCTGCCGCCTCCTCGTCTGCGACGCTGGGGTGGCGTGCTTCCAGCTTCCACGATGCTGTTAGATTCCCGGCTTCGAGGTCTTCTAGTTCGACTGTATCAACCGTGAAAGGGCCCCCTGTGATATTTAGATACCTATCAGTAATCCCAGACTTGGCAAATGCTAGTAATCAGTAAAGACTGCCCTACCACCTCGGACTCGCTCGCTGATCTCGATGATTTTCGAGACGGGAAGGCTATTGCCCCTGATACCACCGATGGGCGGCCACTCGCCTTCGAAGTCGACTGCTTGAGCTACGACTGCCGCCAGGTCTTGGACGGTAGTATAGGTCATGATAGGATCGTGTCCCTTAACAACAATAGCGCGTCGGTTATGAGGATCGATAAAGGCGTTAAGCGGTGTCAAATATTTGGAGGTTTTATGCGGGGTGGCAAGATAGTTCAAGAACAAGCCGGGCTGGAATAGACAGTATTCTAGGGCCTGTGCCATGAAGGATTAGAGGTGGCCCGCGATGAATTGAGGAGATATTTAGGTGATTATCGACTTACTTTTCTATTCTCGTTTATCTCTTTTAAATACTCCTTTATCTCGTCTTTGCCCGTCCACCAAGGCATCCCTACACCGCTGCAACTAGTTCTCTGTCAGCCAGGTTTTCACATACTCTTGACGATTCTGTAAATAGGATCAACTCCTTACCTTCCCCACTCGCTCGGCGCAAAGCGCTTCACGCCAGCTATGACCGCGGCATCGATCAGATTCTTCTGCGCCTTGTTCCCTGGGTCCTGAAGGAGCTGGATGAAGGACAGCACGGTGTCGATGCCACGCAAAACTGCAACCAGTTCGTCTCTGTTTTCGTAGTTGACCCGACGCCATGTGACGCCACGCCAATTGTCGTCTTGGACTCCCGCCTCCTATACTTCAGCTTAGAATGAAACTCCACGACTTGATCCGAGTAGTCTGACGATGGTACCAACCTTTCTACTCAAGATAGTAATGTCGTGCTTCTTAGAAGCCGCTAGAGCATCAGCGACCTCCCGAGCGACTTCTATAGACAGATTAACATATCATAACCACTTCTCATATCGGGTTATCTTACCTCCTGAGCCTCCAGCAATGACAATTTTAGCCATTGTAGCTGTAATACTGACATGAATGAAAATGCATCAGAACTGATGTTAGAATATCGACTTAGATGTTAGGAAACGCCCATAATTATATATGTACCGGATAGTAGTGGTTTGAAGGGATTCGCGGGGAGATCTACGGCGCTTTCGAGCATCCCGCGGTGTTTCCGGGCATTTCCTTAAGGGGTTGAATTGGCCAATAGGGGTCAACCTTTAGAACCCGAAGTCCCAAAGGAGCCAACACTCTATGCACATGAATCCACAGGATAAGTCGTTGTAAAGAGCAAAACGGCAAAAGTGATAAGATTTAATTAATATTGTCTCATAATGACGAAGACGTGCTTTGAAGGCGAATAAAATTTTAATAAATATACGTATTACTTCGTTAAATCAGGTACCTGAACTATCGCTTAAAGCCGTACGTTCAGCTCTCAGATCTCTAACAGTCTTGTCGTACTCGTTCCGAAGCCACGCTGCGATATATGTATAGAGGCTACCGGCGCCAGCAACTGACGACTCGTCCGAGAAATGTGAACTAAAGAGATCAATGAGGCCTGACATCTTGTTCAGCTCGCTTAGAACTACGTGGTTTCTGATTGAAGCTTGCATTTTCTGGTCCTCAATGCTAAATGTTCCTAACGTAGCCGGTACGTCGGTGACGACGAAGCCGGTGGTTCGGGGCAATATTCGCAAGTTAGGGGAGCGAGTAGCTGCCTCTTCGTCGGGCCCCTCCGATGAAGAGGTCGAAGGGGATATATCATCCATACCGTGTAACGTATCAGCCGACTGAGGGTCTGGGGAGATGGTACAAGGCCAGCCAGCGGCCTGCTGATACCATATTAAAATCCGAGAGATGATTGATGCATGCACCATAACTCTATGGCCAGACTTGGCGCAAGAGCATTCCAAAAGGCCACTCAGCCGGTCGATTGCCTTCCTGTTGAAGTGAAGGACCTGGTCTAGCCGAGCCGTCACAGTATCCGAGTTAGTATCAGGAGCGTGAAGATCCGGAGCAGGGCAGATCAGATCTGCAAAAATCTCATAAGACTCCCTGGCGCAGCTATGAGACCCACGGGTATCTTGGACCCCGTGGATTTGAGTACCAACGTCTAAGAAGCCAAGCTGAGGCCACTGCTCAATAGCTAGAGGGTTGAATAGATGCAAGCCTAGCTGGTCGTCGTTGTTATGGGTGTTTGATAATGGAGCGTTAGTGTTGCTTCCGGGTAGCATTGTCTCATCTAGGTTTATAAAACCCTCTGGATTAGTGTTGGGCCATAATCTCTGCGCCTCAGCTCTTGCAGATAGCCCCCTTCTCGGTGCTCTGCCGAGTTTGCGCGAGATGCCATATATACACTCGGTACCGAGAGTAACGCAACGGCGGCATCTGGGCCGACTACGATCGCATTTGACTTTAGCTGATCCACACGAGTCGCATGAAGATCGCACTTTTGGGCTTGTCATCTTCGGGAGTTGTGTCGTGTCTGATAGCCCGTCTATGTAGACAGCAGGTACCTGTTATCACGAGATTGGTGACGGGCAAAGTGGAATATGTATGTAAGTAACAAGGAATATAGCTTTATCCGATGTAGATCCTAAGCCTACTAGGCCTACCCCTGGTAAAACTATGGCATTGATCTTGACCTACGGGTTACATACGGCATAACAGATCGTGTAAGCATAACACCCATCGTTTATATGCAAAAATACTAGTCACGCCGTGGATCGAACACGGGACCTTCTCGGAGCTTTGAACACATCAATGTGAACGAGAAATCATAACCATTAGACCACGCGACTTTGCGTTAGGAAGCTCCATTATCAGATGCTCCAACATGATTGGCCAAGTTTTGGTTACTATACTATATGTACCGTGTATCTACACAGCTCGTTCTACGACAACCCTAGAAGGGCTCCATAGCCGTAGTGTTGACCCTAAAGCAAACCCTACCTTCACACAGTTTCTCCATAGTGCACATCGAGACGGGAAACAAAAAGGAACTGACCACCCTGGGGCTCGAACCCAGAATCTCCTGATTGCTTTCGATCATGTTTTACGTATATGTTCGATCGTAGTCAGACGCCTTACCATTGGGCCAAGCGGCCTGTGGGGTTTCTTCACGAGGATGAAGACCCATTGCTTGATGGAGTGGCCGCACGGCAGTATTATATACATGTCGACCTTTGCAGTTTATAGAGTATTTGCATACTCTTGTAGTTAGTAATCATATACTATTGCAAGTTTACATCATTGAACGGCTTTGGTTTTGACGGGCTGGTCCTTACACTTGAGATGGACTTCAGAGCTCCAGCAGGTCTAACCTAGGATATGTGGTATTAACTGATAGAATGAAATGGTTCAGGTCATGTCTATCCTTAAACATAAAGTCTTCTGAATATCTAGGTAAAGGCTTTATCTATGCTTGATTATCATCCTCTTATATCAAGCCAAGATCACCACAGATGTGAATAACCCGGTATGCTATACTAGTAAATAATAAAAGTGAACAGGTTGCCTATAGCCTTTAACGAACAGTCACCAATGTTAGCTCAAGTAACAATAGTAGCACTGGAGACAGAAACGTATAAATGCCTTCTTGCTTCAAACACGCGTAGAACAACTTATATACCCACCTCTAGGTATTAAACAATCCCCGAGCTATATACTTCGAAGGGTACTTTAAACGCTCAACGTGCCACAGACATAAGCTACTATTCTTAGCTGAGATGAATAGCCTTTATAATAAAGCAATCTCATCGCCGCACATAAGGTGCAAACCCCTGGGTGCTAAATGAGCACCCTCGATATCAAGAACCCAACTTGTATATGAGGTAATAACCCAACCCAATCTATCCCTTCTATCACACGCGAGTAGTATCCCATATCCCATACCCCCTTTTACTATATTCCAAAGCCTCTATGTAACACGCATCATCTTACCCAACCTAGCAGCACGATGAAACTACCATGACCGAACCCATGCCGGCATCAAACCATCACGCCCCCTTTCTCGACCCCTTCTACCGCCTTTTCCTCTCCCCATAGCATCCCTCCGGCTTCCCTCAACAACCTCACACACTCATCATTCTTAGCCCCCCGCGCCAGGAACAACGGCGTATTATTCGCGCGGTTACGCGCGTGCACGCTCGCCCCCCTGACTAGCAATTCCTCTAGGATCGCCGGTTCCGGTCCCAGTGCTGCGAGATGCGCGGCGGTGTTGCCCATATAATCCGCATGCCGTAGTAGTACCATCGGGCCCTCGCCCTCGTCGCGGTCTGCGGCTTCCAGGATCTCGATAGTGGCCTGTAGATTTCCCGTCGCGATCGTATATCCCAGTGCCGTGAAGGCCGCTTCTGGCCCAGTCAGACGCTCCGCCCACGAGGTATCCAGGCCGGCTGATGGGTGTGCGAAGGATGTTACTGCGGCGAGCTCGGTTAGTTCGCCGCGGATCGACCGGCTCATGCGCGCTGTGATCTCCGCTGCCTTACCTCCCTCGCCGCTAGGCCCGGGGAGAAGCGCGAGGAGGTACGAGAGCTTAGTGAGTGCGGCTTCGGAGGTAAGATCGTGGCCAAAGACTACACCGGCACGACCGAGCGCGAACCCAGGTGCGTATAGCGGCGATACGAAGCCGTTGGTGCATTGGCTAACGTTAACGATTATGATGCCGCGTTGCACGGCTTCGGCAATGACTTTAGTCAGACTGCCGTCGACGCCCTCGGGTGCATTGCCCATCCCGAATGTTTCGAGGATCAACCCGCGTAGGTGTGGCACACGAAGCACCGAGTCTACCATCTCAGGCTTGATGCCCGGAAAGATGCGCACGCAAGCTACATGTGCAGTATCCACGTACGATGTGACGCGGAACTGCGCGATCTTGTTCGGCCGCCGTACGAGCGCCCAGTTCACGTCAACACCGAGGCTAGTAACCTTAGCCAGGGGCGCGCAGTTGGGACTAGCAAAAGCATCGAACGAGGATGCGGAAACCTTGGTCGTGCGGTTTCCGCGGAACAGTGTGTGGTGGAAAAATAGGCACACCTCGGGGATGGCGAAGGTGCCCGCTATGATGAGGGAGCCGAGTAAATTATCGACAGCGTCCGACTGGAGCGCAAAGATGGGGGCTTGAGACCCGGTCAATATTACCGGCTTGCCTAGATCTTCCTGTATAAACATTAGCGATGCCTAAGAAAGGCATAACTTCATCCACGTACCAACATAAAAGACAACGCCGAAGCCGAATAAGACAGGGAGTCGGTCCCATGGAGAACCACAAACCCATCAAATAGATGATAATTAGCTTTGATAGTAGTGGCGATCTGAGTCCAGCCGATGCTGCTTATACTAGAAGAGTCCAGCAGCGGTGAGAATTCGAGAGCGCCATAGCGGATGTGTCTCGAGTATGAACTCGGCGGTGTGCGTAAGCTATCGATGGTAACCTTGACCCCGTCTTTGACCGCGGTTAACGGGACTGTGTAGAGTTAGCCATATTTTATCGGTTGGGATGCATAGTAGCTAGGTGACGATCCCCTCGTCGTTTCAGCTCATTTTATATGTAGCACCTAACCAAAGATTTGAATATTTCCCAGCCATACATAACCTCATCGCCTTGACTGGAAATACAACGTACCTCTCTCTGACATATCGTTAAACGACAGACGCGGCGCCATGGCATTATCCAGAAACCCATCGACGGGCACGAGGCCGCTCGCCGATGGCTGCATGCATATCGTGCCTCCGGTAATGATAATGAGCACTCTCGACTCAGGATACGTAGTGACTTCGGCCTTGCCGTTTGCAGCAGGTGTAATGCCCCCCATCGTCGCAAGTGGCCAGGTAGAATAAATACGGCGAGATATTCTCTTTTTTCCTCTTTCCTTGCTCTTATAAGTTATATATATTTCTGCCTTCTTATGAATCGCAAGCCCGTCAGGCAAGGTATGGGAACACAACACCAAGAGCTATATCGGAACCCAGTCCCTGGGATTCGTAATACCCTTTTACGTCAAAGAAAGCGGGAAGAGGGAAAAAATCGGTAAACCTTAATATTCACTAGAACGGAAGACTCCACATAAGACTTAAACTAAAAGTTAAAAAGACAAATACGAGTAGTATTGATTACCTAGGTACATGGGAGGTATGTAAGTGGGCAGTAGATACATTTTCTCTCCTTGGCTTATTTATATGAGAAGCCTGCCCGGGTTAGACAGACTTGTGTTTGTCTTTTACCTTTTCGTTGGCTTTATGGTGTGCTGGCTTATCTATCTAGTTCCAGATAAAAAAGGAGGAAAATGAGATATATCAGATACCAGCCAGCGGATGCATACCTAGGTACCAATCTCAGTACCCCCTGGAAAAGGGATCGAGATAGACCAATCAAACGGCGAACCGATGACGGACCACCCGTAACGTAGGTTAGGTTTATACTATGTACACTCTAGGATTTCTTGGATTCATTATTTATCTTGATTCTCTATGGCAATATTTTTATCGTCGCTTCTTAAACATCGACAACATTCATCTTTCATAAGCCCAACCATCTAACCAGGCATTGAAAGCGGTCCGTCTTTGGTGGCGAATTTGCCATCTCTTGGTCGTGCTATATCGTAACTAATCATTACGCCGGTTCTCTATTTTCTTGAACCTGCTTCATCTTCTCTCTTGGTCATCTTCTCTCTCGGGTGTTAGAAGAACCCTTCGCTTTCCATCCTTATCCCTCTAACCTCGCTATTAAAGTTGGACCTGGCTGCTTCTCTATCTTATTATTCTTCCACGTATACCCCAACTCACCTATTACCTGGTTGTCTTTTCGCGTATCAGCCTTATGCTTGTATCTGAATCATACCCGATAACGTTCGTAAGATAATAAAGCCTATCTGAGGTTAGCAGCCGTGTCAAACACGAAAAGGGGAAATAATGCGATTAAACTCACTTCTCTGCATTCGCCTCCTCCTCCTTGAGGTTCTCGAAGCGTTGCTGGCAGTCTGCCCAAGCCAACGTCCGCTTCTTAGGTGAGATAGATTTGACGGTAAACCTGAACTGGCCAGTCACGGGCCGGTGATCGGACACTCGGACCTCGTGCCGTCTGTATTCAAGCTGCTGTATTCTACCAAAACCTCGGTGAAGGAGGCGATCGCACCATGCTGGGGAGCGCTTTTTCTCACTACTATCGTAATTATCAGTCCCTACGTCATATTTATATGTGGGAGGGAACTCGATAGGCATCTCGTCAAATGCCCTAAGTTTGAATGCCGGGTTCCTCCGGCGGGCTACGAGGAGCTGATCGCGTTCTAGGAGTTTGGCCAGATTATTTTGTTTTACAGCGATCACGACCGTATCCCGCGACATGGTATCAATACGGTAGTTGAGATCACCGTTAAGTAGGCATAACTCGTGATCAAGGACCATGGTACCATCACCCCCACCTATGTAACTGTCGATGCGAACACTTGGGTCGCGCTCCACGGGAAGGAGAGCGGTTTCCATAATTGCGGCAATGTCGTTATGTCGCTGATTCGCTGATGATTGTCCGGCCGCAAGATGGCAATTGATGAAGCAGAGCGAAGTATCGTCCACCATGAATCGCACAATAATAGCACCTTTGTTGCCGTGCAAACCCCCCATTCCACGCTTTATCTCGGAACCGTTGATGTTGCGTATACGATCACGAAGATGTGATTTCACGAATATACAAGTAAAAAGGCCTACTAGAGTCGCCGTGTGGAGGAGATGATAGAGATGTTCAGCGGGCATATAGTCGTCCAGGCATCTGACGAGAAAATCTCTCCAATCTCGATATTGATGGCTCATCCGCTCTTGGTCCGATGCATCTTTCTTCTTCGGCTTGAAAAAGCGCTTTGCTGTCGCGGTTTTATCCTCTAGATCAACCAGTTCCTGGAATCCAAAGATAAGAATATCCGGCGAATCGCTCGACTGTAGTAAATTTTGCATAAACATGGCATCCGACTCGGAGTATCTTAGGCTGTTTGGGGTCGAAGCCCCAGCATTCCACGTCATCGCCAAAAGCTTGATGTCTTCGAATTTGCAATATTGTGCATCGAGGGACTTCATCTCGTTTTCTAAGAAGTCGTCTTGGAGTAAGCCGTCCCAA